TGACTCATGAGCGGGTGCTCCGCCGCCATTCGCTTCCAAGGCCCGCTCATTTCAGTGATGCGGCGCCATTTGCTTCCAAGGGCCGCTCGAGACATGGGCCTCGTGCACTCGCGCATTTGACGCTACTTGCAAGACCAACGAAAACACATCGAGGGGCTTTAAGTGTGTCCCCTCATTCTAGAAACATTTAAGAAGTTGTAAGAGATCTCGTCTCTCTCAGTCGTACTCGGTCGCAAGAGTGTGAACGGGCCTTAAATGAGCTACACTTGCGACAGTGTCGCCTAAGCGACTCGACAAAATGCAGTTTAAAACTGACGCGCCTGTCGTCACGCCGCCGGCGCCTCCGCTGAATTCTGTGCTCCAGATTTTTCCGCTCAGAAAGGGGCTTGGCACAAACTTCGATCACATTTTTAGTTGGGAAATAGGCGTCGATCGAGCATAATTTTTGGATTTATGGGATGTCAAGATCTCGTAGATTGAATTTAAAAAAAATAAAAAATAAGTTGTTTTTTTTTTTTTTAATTTTTGTTCGGACACGCGTGTCGAAAAATATATTCTACGCGAAAAACAAAAAAATCTTTTAGAGCAATATTGACGGCGATATTTATTTGAAATTCTGCGCGCAAAGTCCATGACGTCACGGAATGGTCAGACACTCTTTCCACCTCAACGTGAAGGCGAAGCCCATCCACCTGTCCACCACGCGCCCAAAATGCCGAGAGAGAAACAAGTGGAAAGGAGGTGACTATCGACTAAATCGCCGTCTCGCGCCGTCAATATATATATATATATTAGTGAACAAAAGGTAAGGGCGCAAACGAGCTGGTGGTGGTTAAACATTTCGACAAAAACCCCGAGACTGGGTCAAAAAGGGACGGACAAACGCAAAGTCTCACAAAGACTTTGTGTTTGTCCGTCCCTTTTTGACCCAGTCTCGGGTTTTTTGTCGAAATATATATATTTTTTTCCCATAAAATTAATTTTTTGAGACGCGTGTCGCAAACAAACTGCTTAAAAAAAAAAAAAAAATTTTTTTTCAGGGGCATTTTAAGTATCACCAAGAACAGACCATCGCAGAAACGTCTTTAGTGCACCTTTAAGCATCCTCAAACATTGGGGCAGGGAATGAACAAATGCGTTGCATTCTATACACCTCGTTTAAAGTTGTATGGCCTAAGTCGGGTCGCTCTCAGAAACAAGTAATTGTAAAGTAATTGCATTACTTTTTAAAAGTAATTTGTAATTGAAACGAATCACTTTCCACGCATTAGCAATTGTAGATAAACTATTCTTGGAGCAAAGCAATTATAATACAATTACATTTTGGAAGTATTTTACCCGTGCGCCTCACTGCCAGTCAGCGTCGCCCTCGGCGGAGCGCACGTTTTCAGAGCTCCGTCGCTCTATCACGTGGAGGCGGTCCAAGATGACCGGGGAGTGTCTAACGGGAATAGCTCTATGATTATCCATCGGGATATTCATGTTGACACGTCCAGTGGGACACACTAGGACAGACGGCTTCGCAAGGGCAAGGAGGCGTAGGACCCGATTTCCTTCTCTGAAGTACTCTATAAAGGGTGCATGACGGATCTAGGAAAATTACGCTTTGTCCACATTTCGCGTGAAGTAGAAACCACCTATCATACCTTATCACTCTGCAGAATATAGGTGAAACACCCTCTGCTTTCGATTTTCACACACACACACACAAACAAACACACACACACACACACACACGCACGCACACACACACACGCACGCACGCACGCACGCACGCACGCACGCACGCACGCACGCACGAAAAAAAAAAAAACGGATTTTTTGACATTGTGAATTCCGTATTGGCAGAGTCATTTAAATCGTCGTTTTGTTCACTGTTCAGATAAACTTGGCGTTTCTTTGTGATCAATAATCGATGTCGCAGGATCTTGTTTTTGTGTTTGGCTGCACGTACTCTGCTACACTTCCACTGCATTGGTTTTGATTTGTTTCCTGTGAGAATGTTCTTGCGAGAATGTTTGGTGTCTCTGTACACACTATGTGGTTTTGTGCCATTCATTTACTACTCTGATTTGCCTTTCTAGCGTGTAGATATGAAGTGTAAAAGGGTCCTTTGATTGTACGTGGTCTCCTCAACGGTTGATATTTTGTTTGTCACGCGTTTCCTTTTGCATTATTTTGATTCGTCTGGTGACATGGTGTTCCCTCACAATGTGATAGTTTCCAAAATGTGAATGAGGTTTCTTAAATGCACTTGATTCCATTAATTATAACTCATTTGCTTAGTTTGTGCAGTTAAACAAGCTTTTATTGCACTTTTTGTCTCATGTAAAAACCCGTCTTGCGAAACCTTGCCATAGAAAATAGCAGCAATTCTGAATAAAAAAATAAAAAAATATATATATTGTACAATCGCGATGGCGGAAGTACTTAGCGCAAAGCTCTATCGCCAGCCAAAATTGTTCATTATTGAATTGCAAACAAAATAACAAATAAAAAATGTATTCAACAAATAACAAAATGTTTTCTTAAAAACCAAAGTCTGGGACCACTCCTGGTCCGGCTGGCCAATATGGCATTTCATCTTTTGCTCCTCTTACTTTTTTTTTTTTTTTTTTTTTTCCTTTTAGTTTTTTTTGGACTCTCGGTCTCGCATCACGACGCTTCAACAGACGCCCAAGGTGGGACTCTTGCTACAAAATGCAACGTGATCTTTTTGTCTTTGGGTGCTTTAAGTGTATGCGTGTTGTTTTTTCAGTGTTACCAAATTCGTTCGAATGTTTTGTGACCCTTTGAACAATGTCAGATATTTTATATACAGCAAAGTTCGGCCGAAGTTTCGTGACCAGCAGCGTATTGGACTCTGACCACAGCGCCGTTTGTTATGGTTAGACAGGCCCACTGATCTCTATTGTAGTAGGCCTACTACAATAGAGATCGATGGTTAGGCCGCTCGGTAGCGCGACGCGATGCGGTTTGCTTAGTGCGGTCACAGTAGAGCACATGAACTCTCATTTTTTTTTTATTTGTTGACACGTTGTTTGTTCATGCTATCGAACCTACCCGGAAATTCAAGCTAAATTTCCAGTCTGTCCAAGGGCAAGTGTGGGCGCAGTTGCCTTTAGAGTGGAAACCAGGTCGTATTTATCTCCGACCTCTATGTCTTCGTAGATCATGGAGAACTGCATGGCTTTGGGCTTGAAGCCTGTCCTATAAACGAGACCTAGGTGCAACTGCTTCCCCATCTTGGCCGAGACTCTGAAGCTTTATTTGTTCAATGATTCGAAACCTCCATCAATTTCCTTGCACCCGCCATTTTGCGGAGCACGCAGCGGGAAAGAAAAGAGAGAGAGAGAGAAAAAAAAAACAGTTTATGAACACCATTGACTAAACACCCTTATTTTTGACAAAAGAAATTTTCACGATTTAAACACCTTTCTTACACCCCTAAAAAGGGTGTACGATGGGTGTAGGTACTCACGACTAGTCTTGGTGATGCTGCTAGAGGGCAACAACGTTTTGGAGCTCGCATGGAACCGGTTTTTAAGGTTGGTCTAGCTATAGCATCAAATAACTATCGCCTGTACCAATGCTTTTTATTAGGAGATAGTCTATGAACGTCGAAAAATCATCTTCGATCTGAAATATTAGTGGAGAAAACGCAACATACCTGAACCTAAAGAATTGTAGTGGTGGCCCTCGGCAAAAGAAGTGTCAATTGTGTCTATTGAGCGCAGTCTGCACGATCGTTGGGTCGTAAACGTGCTTCATAGACTTTATGTGACAACTGTGCGTGGTGCTGTGTGAAGTTTTGCTTTTTGGAAGTTTTGAATGTGACGTCACTGGCAGTGTCAGATAACCCCTGCTCGCCTCTAAGCGGGTTCCGCTCGGAAATGCCGGACCCGCTTAAGTCCAAACAGGATACTACAACACGCACGACTCCGACAAATCGTGCGGCGCTCCGCTTCCGGCCGTTTTTCTTTGTCGCGGGGGAAACGTCCCCCCGTCAAATCTATCTCTCTCTCTCTCTCTCTCTCTCTCCCCCCCCCCCCCCTTTCCTCCACGGCGACCTTGCTCTGCTCATCAAGTGGGTGCGGAAAGCCACTCGTACGCTCGCACGCACAGCACAGCGAGGGGGAGATTTGACGGGGGGGGGGGGGGGGGGGGGATTCCCCCCCGGGCAATAGGGAGTTTTAGTAGACCGTGTTTCCCGCTTCGCTAAGCCCCTCCGCTACCCGGAACTCTACAGCCAAGGCCATCGGCGTGCAGGCGCAGTGGCGGTTTCTTCGTAGCGGAGGGCTAGCGGAGGGGGAAACACGGTCTACTAAAACTCCCTATTAAGAACGGCCGCAAGCGGAGCGCCGAACGATTGTCGTGTGGCCCGACGATCTCTGTAGTGTGCTGTTTGGACACCCCTTTAGAGGACGTGCGAGGCACATGTCTTGCGGCAGTCTTCTGCACGTTTTTGTTTCTTTTTCCAATAAAAGCGGTTTGTATTTCATTGTGCCCAATTTCAGTGCACAATTCATATTAAAGAGGAAAAAAAAAAATAGAAGGCGGCTTTTATATTAGTTTTTGACTATGTTCAGACTTCTACAATTGGAGCGTACAGGAATATAATGCCGACTCCAACTGCTCCAGCGAGTTATTCCCTTTTCTAGGGGTGCAAAGGAGCGAGTTGTGGACTCCAAAGCACCTTTATGGATCTACTGCTGTTTAGAGTGGATACCTGCACTGCCTAACACTTGCTCGTAAGTGTTGTTACAAAACCAGAAAAGATCCATAGTAAAGGGGAGTTCTTTTTTCTTCTCACTGGCACAAACGAAGGAAGGATTCTTGATTTCATTTTGTACCGCACTTCCTCTCGCCTCTTTCTTGCCCGATTGCCGCAGATTCGTGATTGAAATGGCAGTTGAAATATTCCGCCTTTCCTGGAGTCAAGGCAGGGTTTCTTCATTTGTTTACACCTCTACCTTTTAAAAAGTTAGACGTCCAACCAATACGAAAATATATCAATTTTTTATTGTCCTCCATGTGCCGAGCCAAGGTATTAAAAAAAAAAAATTTCAACAGCTAAAAAACGCATAAATACATGCCCTCGTTATATTTACAAATTCCTGCAAGAGACTAGACCAAATTATTAAGTTAAAAACGTAAGGACTCTCTCAGAACTTGCCTTACGATACAAAAAAATGGCAACAAACAAACCACAGCTCATTACTGGAAAGAGCCGGGCACTCTCGATTATTTGGTCCCAAGAGCAACAACCCGGCTAGGCACGTTTTCACGCATTGCCACAACCAACAGTAACATGTAAAAGAGGTAAGGACGTTTGTCATGGCACTTGTAGTAAGCTCTATGTCTGGACTGCCCTATGCTCCTCTGCCTACATGGCATTCACCCTCTGCTCCAACTGATCCAGCTGCTTGGCAATTTCGCTGGGCAGTTCTTTTCCCAGCTGTTCGTCGAAGTACTGGCGAATTTCCCGGCACTCCTTGAGCCAGAAGTCCTTGCGGAGTTCGAAGAGCTCCCCCATGTTCACTTCGTCCTGAAGTCCATCGAGGTTCAGGGCACCTTCTGAGGGAAGGTAGCCGATTGGAGATTCCTGTGAAGACAGGAAAAGACGTGCTTGTGGCACAAAGCTTGCTTTGCCTTTCAGTGTCGGGCAAAGCCGTGGTTCAGCCTTCCTCCCACAACAACCCCACATCACAGAGTTCCTTCGAAGAAAAGACTACCCTTTGCATGTGCTTTTGACAAGTAATTTCCTTTTCCTTGTCGGCTTCACCTGCCCTTCGGTTCTGCCCTAGAGAGCTGTACACGAGGAATATTGTAAAAAGTGCAACGGCAGAAATATTGTAGGACAGCCTCCCAACGTCACATTGCAAATTCTCTTCTGTTAGAGAGATGTGAAAAACAGGTGATCAGAATTCCAAGCTTGATACTAGGTTTGGAACAAAATCAGTTACTGTCAACTGCAATTAATAACTCCACAAATCTGACCCTAAATGTTCAAACACCCTATGCAATGACACAACAACTTTTCCAAATTAAAGATACCCCAGCAAAGAGGGAAGTAAACAGGAATTTGGAGACACATCCGAAACATACACGAGATAAATGCAAATTCATGTCCAGTCAACACTGCTCAACATGGAAATGGTAGTAATTTGCAACAAAAATTGCAAACAAATGGCAAAGAAATAATATTTAAAAATCGAGCAAAACAAGAGTGTCAAAAGGTGTATCTGCCCTGTAGTAACCTTGCAATAGATTTGTTATGTGGAAGTGCATAACCCTAAGCTGTGCTTCAGTGCAATACACCCTCAAACTTGGGGGGGCCTCAGACATCTCCAATTATGGGATATCAAAGCTGAAAAACATGCACCATAGAATAGCAAAGAGAATCAAGTAGTCTGTCATGGACGTCCCCATGGCTCTCCACGGAAGTCGCCTACAAGTATCCTGCCATCATTTACCTTTGCTGTGCCGCTCTCTTGGTCAACCCTTCGGCAAATCCAGTCGATGACGCGGCTGTTCTCCCCGAAGCCGGGCCAGAGGAATTTCCCGTCTGAACCCTTGCGGAACCAGTTGACGTGGAAGATCTTGGGTAGGGTGCGTCCTGGCTTGCTTCCCAGACTCAGCCAATGCCGCTGGTAGTTGGTGAAGTTGTAGCCAAAGAATGGGCGCATTGCAAATGGGTCGTGCATGATCACCTTGCCTGCAGGAAAAGTTGGGAAACTAAGCCCCCACTGGCCAAAATGGGGTATCAAGCAAAGGTTACCAAGACAGAGGCATACCTTTGTGCTCAGCAGCAGCAGTAGCTTCCGACCTCATGGCTGATCCAATGAACACACCGTGCTCCCAATTGAAGGCTTCGTACACCAAGGGAACACCTGCAAATTGTAGAAGAAATGCCTTGCTGCATGTGGACACACAAGTTTTCTATCCAATAAATGCCACCTTAGTATATGTGCTAACTAAAATATACTGTAGATGAGTATAGAGTATGGTCCCCATATTGTGATCTCCAACTGGAGTTCCTAATCACATTGGTGGACATTATAGCACTGATGTGCAGGTAATAGACAACTAGTAGCAGCAATGTAACATGGGTATTGAGGACAAAATTGGTTCACAAAAAGAAGAACACAATTGGTTGTCCACCCCTAGCAGTGGCCCGTTTGAGAAGTTGTGATGGCAAGTTCCTCCAAGAAGTTGTAAGGACAAACAAGTTCCGGTGCCATTAAGCTTAGGGAATTGGGGGGGGGGGGGCGGCACTACACATACAACAAGTAGCAGAACATCATAATACATTCTCGGTTTATAAGTTTTGCTATGCCCAAAAACTGTAACGCAAAGCAGCCGACGCAATGCACTGGGCCACCTAGCCATGGCCACTCCCCCTTTCACCTCTTTGCCTCTCTGCGCTGTACTTCCTGCCTCTACAGGCATGATGCTGGACTAGGCTCCAAAGGGATTCAGGCTCACGCAACAATGCCTTTCTCCAGCACACAAGACTGTTATGGTCAGTTGCTTCGGTACCGCTAGTCTAGTGCCACGTTGCATAGAGTTCAGAGTTTGTGCCCATTCATAAGATGGCATCACAGAAAGAGAAGGCTGCACCTACAAAACTTTCAGACAATGACACCCCCACCGCCATGATGGCGTGAGCAGTGAGCTTAAAAGCTGCAAGGAGACACTTTTGTAAAATGGATGGATGCCGGCTGCTGCGATGAAACAGCGCAAAAGTGTACTACTACTTATATCGCACGATTAAAATGTCAACCATGTGGCACTCTTGAGGCACCACTAGCATCTAGATACACAGCTTTGCTCAGCAACGGCTGACATGGGGGCAGCATGTGGGTTAACTCCATGGGCTCGGACATTTTGCTTACGCTAGCAGGCCTGCAATTGTAGGGCAACCCTGAATTTTAATTCTAAGTAACAACGAAAAAAGCAACCTAGTATACTGAACATGGTAGTTCTCCACAGCCACAAAAGGCTCACTTAGATATAGCGTTAATGGTTTATTAAATTATTTATTACATTCCCGTCACACCCAAGGGGGCAGTACAGAAAAAGTGGGAACAAGGTAAAAAAAAAGTACAATAAAAAAACAAGATGAAACAAATTAACAAAGTGCAGGATTAGAAAGGTGTTCAGTTAAGGCAGTCTCAAAGAATGAGACGTCTTCAATAGAGGCGATGAAGGGGAGGAAGGCGATTCTATTTTGAGTTGGTCTTGGGTAGGAAGGAATCATAAAACATATTTGTGCTGCAAAAGATAATGCCAACTTTATACTGATGATCAATGCGGGATGGAAGATATAAGGGCTGTGAAAGAAGTTTGCACTGCAATGAGTTGCAAAAGAAAATTTTATGAAACGGCTCACCTTCGGGCCTGCGGCCGCCGAAGAGGATGGCCGAGATTGGCACCCCCTTGGGGTCTTCCCAGGCCGGGTCGATGATGGGGCACTGGCGGGCCGGGGTGCAGAAGCGGGAGTTGGGGTGCGCGGCCGGTTTGCCCGAGCTTCGGGTCCAGTTCTCCTCGCCGAGCCAGGACTTGATGCGGATCCCTCCGGCGGGTTCCTCCATGCCCTCCCACCAGAAGCCCCCGTCGCTCGTCTCCGCCACGTTGGTGAAGATTGTGTTCTCCTGGACCGTCTTCATGGCATTGGGGTTGGTCATCATGGACGTGCCTGCCGGGGAAACGGGTCACACTCAGTGTCATCACGGGAGCCAGTGCACTGCCGTCGCCAAAACACATCCAGCGCTGCCCGCTCCCCGAATTCGGTAAAATCCAGAGGCAGGAAAAAAGTAGGTCAGAGCTTTAAGACAGTCTTTTCTATCTATTAAAAATAAACATCTTAGCAGAAATTGCAAGATTCACCGATTTCTGGAACAAGAGAGCTACCGGGGCAACTTGACATGCAAGAATCGATTGTTCAATTAAATGCCAAATCTCAACATTCAAATATGGACTCAAAGTCAGTGAAACTTTGAGTCTCAGACATTTGTGATGAACAGAAAAAAAGTAATCATGGTAAACATAAAATATTTAACAAAATACATAAACCATTCCAAAGTACCAGAGCTAGTTGCTAATGCACCATGAGGTTTTAACCTAAAACAAAGCTACGGATAAAATCATCCGTATATATTATCTAATTATCGACCATAATATCCTAAACGTACGCCCACCCTCGAACTTTGGCACATGCACCTCCCTTTTATGTCAAAGAAAATCCCCCGATATATTGCCCACCCTCCAAAAACAGCAATTGCGAAAAACTGGAGACACCTAAGCAGTCTCCGGACGCACGCACGTATGCACCAAACAAGAAAGCTGCGCATGAGCCTGCTCCTTGCGAGTGACGAAACGCTCTATTTGGCCCGATGCCGAAGTATTTTCCAACACGACCGCCGGCTTTCCTGCTTCCCTAGCATCGCTCTTAGTCGCTTGTTTCACCCACCTGCTCGTTGCGCCTGGTTGGTTTTTCTACTTTCTGATCGCTCCTTTTTTTTTTCTTAACTCAATTTATTTTTGAATTTGCAGATCAGCAATGCTAGGGAACCTAACGAAGGGAACATTGCGGTTTCGGAAACATGCTTTCATGGAACAAGCATTCTTGCTGTATGCCAGTCGGCAGTATTCATCTCGTGTATGCAAGCAATGAACTTCGCGATGGTAAAACTTTCAAAAAGGCGGGTGGGCGAATCTCAAAGATTCTCTCACTTGCCTTTTTTCTCAATCATCTCCCACGAAAAGTCGGGCATTCTTTCAGGGTATTACGTTAAAAAGACAAAATCGCAGCAGTGATCATAAACTGAAAAATCATATACTGTCTATTAATGACAGAGGGACTCACTGCTACACAAGAACGCAAGAAAAAAACCAAGTACCTGGTGTGCAATTTATGCAACAATGCACAAGCCATGTCGTACAATTGTGATTAATATGAAGGTAACACGCAATCACCAATCCCTACGACAATTTGCTTGATCGCGCATCCCCATCCCTGCTTCAAGCTTATTGCACGATTGCGGCCATCTTGCGTCACCCGCTGAAGTGTTGTCAAGGCTGTGGTCACGTGACCTTTGCGTCAGTTGTCATGTGACCTACAAATGGTAACCATGGTAGCCGTCTAGGCTAGACGGTGCTAGAGTGGGAGACGTAAAATGGCTGACCAGTGGCCGCATTTGCAGAGTGCAGCGGGGCAATCAGCGATCCAGCCGGGGGGTTTCCCCAGGAATTGAAATTAGGGGAAGTGTCTAAATTTATACGGGGGGAGGTTGGGGGGGGGGCATTGAGAATAGAGGAGTCGTTGCGAATTAAGGGGGTGCCATACGAAAAACAAGGGAGTGTGTGCAGGGGAATCACTGGATCCAGTGAATCGTTAGATCAGTGCACGCAATCGTTGACTGCTCAGTCCTGGCAGCGTCATGAAGCGGCAGCCGTGGCAATTTGTGCGCCTTATTACAGATAATTTCATGCCTTGCCACCCTTGGTTTGCAAAGCGCACACTTTGCCATGCCTGCCAATACAGAATGTTCCATATTAGTGAGTCACCTTATAGGCACAAGCAAACCTCCCGCTGTAATACGAGCCCGGAAAAATCGGCGCCTGCACATAGAAAGCTAAAACTTTCACAGAATGTGCACCAAGCAGGTCAGTCTTACTGTGTGAAGTTTCAAGGCATAGTTCTCTACCTGCAAAAATGAGCAACAATCTTGCCAAAGTAAAAAAAGGGAGAGTTTGCAGACAACCCGAGTTAGCGATGCTAATTACTTGTGGCGACATCTCCCGATATGCATACAGAGCAGACAACAGAGTGCATTGTATGCTCACTGTGCCTATCGGAAGATGGCGCCACAGAAGTAAATAGCGCCGCTAACTCTGGTCAGCGAACGCGCCCAACCTCAACTTTGGCAACTTTTTACCCGCATTTTCTTTAAGAAGAGAACTATGCCTTGAAATTTCCCACGCTAAAACTGAACTCTCAGTGCACAGTCGGCGAAATTATGAGCTTTCTACCTACAGGCGGAAATTTTCCCGGCTCGTTTTACAGCAGAAAATTTGCTTGTGCCATCCTATGGATCAGGAGTGTACCGACAAAGAGGAAGCCCACTCAGTGGTTTATGTCCAAAGGAACAGCAAGACGGCGACCGCTTGCCAAAACACTTCAAAGCAGACGTCGGCATCAGCAAAAAGCTACCCATAGAAGAGCAAACAGAGAAAGAAAATGTCGAGAATTGGCAGGTCTTCCTTTTTCCGTTTACATCCCGCATCTTTTCGCAAAGTCGGTTTTCTATTCCTGTGTCTTGGCAACCAGCCACCGCAGTAGCCGTTCTGTCAGACTTCGCTTAGGGGAAATATTGCGCCATTATTTCACAAGCAGCACTGGCCCAACAAGCTGCATTAGTATTTCACTCACCAGGAGCCACCCCGAAGAACCCATACTCTGGATTGATGGCCCTGAGCACTCCATTCTCGTCAAACTTCATCCAGGCAATGTCGTCACCCACGCACTCTGCCTTGTAGCCAGGCAGACTGGGTGTCATCATGGCCAGGTTTGTCTTGCCACACGCACTGGGAAAGGCAGCAGCAATGTACTTCTTCTGGCCCTTGGGGTTGGTAATGCCCAGAATCTGGAGAGCAAAAAAAGCAGACCTGCATGAGTGCCAGACACTACAGAAACTGCAAAACTGTCAGCACTGTCAGAGACAGTGCCAGTGCTTACGTCCGTTAGATAAATGCAGACACTGCAAATCGAGGGACACACATTTTGTCAAACAAGAACTGGCAACTCACCAGCATATGCTCGGCGAGCCAGCCTTCTCTCTGGGCAAGGATGGATCCCAGACGCAGCGCAAAGCACTTCTTGCCTAACAGCGAGTTGCCACCGTAGCCACTTCCAAAGGAACAGATCTCATTGTTGGCGGGGATGTGGGAAATGATGGTCTTCTCTGGATTGCATGGCCAGTTGTTGATCGCAGGCTCTGCAAACAGGGGAGCAAACATTGCAGTATTTCTTTTGTCAGTACTTGGAAAATGCAAGCTATGCAGTTACTAGCAGGCACATTTTGCATGCAACTTCCTGAGCCTGAGCCTATTTCAAACAGTACAGCCAAGCAATGCCCCCCTCCCCTCCCCCCTCCTCTCCTCTCCTCTCCTCTCCCCCCCCCCCCAAATGCTGACCTCGTATGGGCCTTGCAAACTAAGACACCGCCAAGCCGTCAACGGCTCAAATGTCTTGTCAGTTACTTTATAAGCAAAGCAGTGGTTCGTTCCACTCACTAGCCATCGGCAGGGGCTGGCCAACAGAGTGGAGGCACTTGATGAAGCCGTTGTTGCCCAGGGCCTTGAGCACATCGGCTCCCATACGGGTCATGATGCGCATGCTAGCCACAACGTAGGGAGAGTCGGTCAGCTGAATTCCAATCTTGCCAAGAGGGGAGCCCAGTGGGCCCATGCTGAATGGGATCACGTACATGGTACGTCCTGCAACACAAGGGCACAAAAGGGGAGTTGTAAGCAGGCAGAACAAACATGCTAGCCCTCATATCAGGGCCAGCAACTGATCTCTGCAAAGGGTTTGTCAAACTGCTTTAAATCCAAAATATCAAAAGCTTCCCACATTTTAAAGGGCCACCAAAAAGTTACAATGCGAGAATAATTTGAAATTTGTTACTTTTTTTTTCATTTGCAAAAGTGAAAAAGAAATGATATCCTCTTTCCCCAGAATACCATACAATACCACCATATTACCACAAAGCAAAAAATAAACTATTTTGCAGCTTAGAGCTGCTTATCAGGGGAACCATGACATAATGTTTCCCGACACATGCCATAGCAGATTGTAGAGATTTATCAAGTTGAACAATAAGCTGCTCAATATAAAGTTGTGTGAAAAGTTGGATATTAGCAAGACTTCATTAGACTAAAAATTCAGAGGCCTAACTACCTTCTACCTAGATGCTACACCACCTTTGTTGCCGGACAACGAAGGCAACTTTGAGAACAAGCAGAAATGGTGAGAGGGATTCTCGCTGGAGCACAAAACCTGCTGGTATGTGCGAGACAGTACAGAACCAAAATCTCTGCACTCTTCTGCATGTTATAAAGGCAAACTGAATTAATCTGCCATATTCTAAATATTGTCTCATGGACCCTTCAAAGTAATGACTTACAAAGGTAACAGGCATGAAAACACCTTTTGTCGACCAAACTTTGCAAATTCACATTCGAAAGGCTTAATGTCTCGGCTCGTTAGAGTGGGCGACAAAACAAGACTCGCCCTTCATGCATCCAGGAAAACGTTCGTCCAGTGCCTTCTGGAGGTCCGAGGGAGACATCCAGTTGCCAAGAGTGCCCTTGACTCCCTCCTTGGGAGTTGGGATGGTGTCCTCTCGGCGATCCGTGCTGATGAATGTGCGGCTCTCAACCCGGGCAACATCAGCAGGGTCCGTACGAGCCAGGTAACTGCACGTTCAACATCAGCTGCCTCATCCCAGCCTCAAAATACCTTTTCACAGTAGTAACAAAGAGTAAAGATCTAAGACGAGCCTCATCCCCCCCCTTGTCACATGCCTAATGTTGCAAGTGATTTAATTAGCACCAACTTGGAAGAAGTACATTTCTTGCCAAGGTCAAAAAGTTGCCGTCTACAAAAGGAGACATGCCACATAATTTGAGATTAGTTTAGAAATGCTATGAACACTTTTCCAGCAAGCTTCTGCACATGCGTACACTCCCTCCCCTAGGCCTATCTTCCCGCTGTCACCATTTTCAGCGGGCACCGACCGTCCCGCACGACCAACAATGTCAGCACCTATCTTCGCGCATATTTCGTCTATTTGGACGCTTCGTTTTTTAGTATTGTTTAGTTTTTAGTATGGGGTATATAAAGGGCAGAAAACTGATACAATGGCACGATGCCAATGTGCTTTGACTGGCGGAAGCGCGTTGAGCTAGCCTTCATTTGTACATTGCAGACAACTCCCCAGACGGCCTTCATTACTCGAAAAAGGTTCATTGAACAAGTCCTAGTAAAACACCAAATTAGGAAACTTAACACCCTCTCTGCCAGGCTGATGCCTCAAAAATAACAAGTTTTAATATATAATATGGCCTCATATGCGGCTCTTCCAAGGAAATACTTTGAAAATTCAGCGATAATGTCAACAAAGATATAGGGCATACTGGCCTTACCCCTAAGGTAAGCACGAGCCAATAGAACTGGAAGAGGATTCTGCTGTGTGTGCTCGTGCACACAAGCAGTACAGCCTAGGCCAAAGGCACATGCTCTATCAGGTTCTCTCACTTGCACAGTCGCTTCCAAAGCAAGACACTTGGCTTTGCTAGCACAGTAGGGTGAAATAAGGTAAGGCAAGTTATCATCGCACACGAAAAAATGGTAACAAAGCAGAATATATTGCTGGAGGACCTAGCGGCTTGTCTTTGACTCTGAAGAGTCTAAGCTAAAATGTATTATTCTCGAGGTTCAAATCTCTGCCAATTATTTCTTGTATTACTCTTATAAGTTCATATATGTATCTGCCAATATGCTTTCTAGTTTTATTTTCAAGTAAGAAAGCACTACAAATTTCTTCAGCTTGCATCTCAATCCGCGAAATACAGGATCAATAAGTGTCAAAGAAGGAAAGGACAAGAAAGAAATATCGGCGTTAAAAGAAACAAAAATCTAGTTCTGGTCATACTAGAAATTCAGCATATCAGATTGTGAAAACTGCATAAGCCGCACAAATTAGTCAAACTGCCAGGTCAGATAGCAAGAGATAAAGGACATGGACTATGCACTGTCCCTGTCGCATGCAAGACTGTGGCCCCACTTTACAGAACAGAAGGTGACTGAAATGGACGTAGGATATGAGCAAAATTATCGTTGCAAGCCGTTCCTTCCAGTGACCTTTGATAAGACACTCATACAATGGAGACCTGTTTGCTCTCAATGCTACGAGCCAAGTCTGAGCAAGACTTTGTACCAGTTTTGTTTCAAACCCCGGTCGCTTTTACAAGAGCTTATCTCAAGTGGTATATTGGGCTGAACAAAAATAATATTAGAAACATGAGCCATTACCAAAAAAAAAAAGAAAAAAAAAAGAAAAAAGTAGACCTATTTATTCAGACTAAGATTAGAACTCATGAAACTCCAGTATAAAAATTTTCATATACGAAACGAGAGATTGCTCCAGTTTCTACAATACACAATTTTTCTTGTTTATATAGTACAAGACCTTGAGGGCTCTTGATCAGGCTACCAGCTCCATACATTTATACTTAGTTTAACAGAAACCAGCTGGACCCCCTGATGGGAAATTCCAGCAGGATAGCCTCGAACTATACCATTCAACTTCTGCCCGAAGCGTCCAGAAAAGAAAGAGCTGAAGTACCAGTTGCGATACTTGGGCAGTGGAACAATGCTGCCGGACTTGAGCATTAGGTCGAGGAGGTGGCTGTTCTCAGCATCGCTGCCATCGCACACATGAACTGTGCTGGGCTGGCAGATGCGCTGCTTCTCCTCCACGTAGGCCCTCACTTCCTGTGGTAGGCTGCTCAGCGTGGGCTGCTGGCGCAGTGCTGAAGATGTGCTCAGCGCACGGGCCACGCAGACCTGTTGCTTTAATTGCGACTGCAGACATTTCAAAGACCTGCAGGCAACCAAGGCACCAATGAAACTGTTCCGCTTGGTTCAGGAACACAGTCCTAGACAAAGTCCTGGACGAAAATGGGCTTTGCAATTGCCCAAATAATTTTCTGCAATTTTGTTTTTTTATTTCCGTAACAAAATAACACAGTGGCCATATAGAATTAGTTGTTGATGTTATTTCCTAGCCATGCAGACGGTCAGATTTTGGAAGCATGTACCCACCACCCGATTACATTTCTGATCAAAATTCGAGCTCGCGGAGTTAAAAGGACGATTTATGAGACACCGTAAATCTTTGAATTAATCACCTCATAAAAAAAAAAAAAAATCGCCACTATTTTTCCAACTTTTCAATGTAAAATATAAGGCAAATATGTTTTCATTTAAAGGAACACTGGAAGTCAAAAATCAATCTAATATTTAATTATTTATACGTTGAGAGTCACTCGTTTGACAAGAGAATGATGATTTACACTCCCATTCGCTACAAGCACGATTGACAGGAGACAGACATTGAGGCCCATAAACCATCATTTTTGAAGAAGAATGACCGTATTTTGTTATGGTTAAACTCCCAATGGCTTCATTCTTTTGTCATAAGCTTTCTTTCTATTGGGAACTAAACCAGGTGAGTCATTTAAGGCACGTACACCATATTTCATTACTTTATTATAATACCCACAGAAGGCACTAAAGTACACACATTGCAACCACAAAACGAATTATAACACAAATAAAAAAAAATAAGAAGAAAAACAGAAAAACGCGGCACGGATCACGGTATGGGACATTCGGCTGCAAAGCAATGTCCCAAACTGTTATATCATGCGCCCACCTCAGGCTTCTCAGCGCACTCCGGTAACCAAAATGCTCCTCCACGCCAGCCGCTTTGCCCAATACGCCGGTGCAAAGCGGTGAAGCCCTCTTACACGCTAAACGTGAACCTCGATTTGACGAGAAATTCGGATTCCCGCGCAGCCTATGTGCGAGGTCTCCCTTCCTCGATTTTACGAAGTTCCCGATTCAACGAAATAATTAGCGGGTCCCGGTGACTTCGTAAGGCCGAGGTACAACGTTCTGTCTCGAGGGTTTTCTGCAATGCTGGCAAATGCACGGGCGCGAGAGCTTGGCTCAGTGGAATGTTCTGTTTGCACGAGCACTCGTGCACAAAAAGAGCTACGGAAAACCAGGCCCTCGCGCCCGTTTGTCTCATTCAAGACACTTGGGAAGAAAGCACTGCCAAGGCTTGACCTCACTATAACGTGCATCAATGTTTTTTGTTTTTTTTTTTTTTTTTTTATAGGACGATGCTAATGTTTATATACTTCGTCTCACCCTAGCATGGACTAACCGCGAAGGCTGTGCTAGCGCGAGCGGCCAGCCTTGACTGCCTTGACTAGAGCACTTGCTGCACGAGCGCTCGTGCAGTCGCCGCGGCTTCATTCAAAGCGACTAGCTCGCGCTTTTAGTACGCGCGGCTAACAATAGTCCGTACTGAGGTGAGACGAAGTATAGTACCCGATACCGATGGCACGCGGCCTCTGGGAAAATACCAAGAAATAGCGGGCAACAAATTAAGATGCGGCCGTAGCATAGTCAGTGCCCAGAACTCGCTTTGAAGACCATTTCCGCTCTCGAAAGAGCGGAAACGCTCTTTCGAGCACTCCAGAAGAAACAAGAAAAAAGAAGCGTCGCGAGCAAAATGGTCAGATGTCACCAGCACACATAGGGCGCCAGTTCATGATGAGACGCGATCTTCACGCGCCACACCGCTCGGTCGACGTAGCTTTGGCAGGGCTCTATTTTGGGGAACTCTGTTTCCAGAAAGCTGATAAGAAACCAGCGGTTTGTTGTTGTCGGTGTTGTCTTTTTTTTTTCGCCCGGCCGAGTTGTATGCGCCAGCGCAGAACTTTCTACCGAACTTCGAAGCATTCGAAGGTAGTTCGTTCGATCATATGTTCGGCGCGAGTGCTCCAGTTGCGGCATGGCTAACTATAGCTTCTCCTTAAATCCCTGCACTATGGCGGAACAGCTGACGTCGCGAAACCTGACAAACTAAACACTGCCGCTGGATTCTGGTTAACGCAAAAAAAAAAAAAAAAAAAAAAAAAAAAATATATATATATATATATATATATATATATATATATATATATATATTGCCGTGTTTTTTTTTTTTACCACTAATCAACATTACTAGAGTGGCGGAAAGTGCTTGTTTGGGGCACTAACCAAGCGGTAAAATTTTATGCCCGTCAATATTCTTTCTAAGTGAAATGTGCTCGCGGCAAGTGACGGAGTCTTTTGCACAAGCTAGTGCCAGGATGTCCAGACCGACCGGAAGAGGGCGCAATTTTTAACATAGGAACGAGATGTAGTATTTACTGGCCGCCCTAGTTCAGTACGTAACTGCCGAGTGTGTGTGTGTGTGTGTGTGCGCGAGTTGATACTGATTAAGTTCGCACAGTCCAAACATTTGTTTCTGGCAGGCAATAAGTTATTGTTGAAGAGGGACCCGTTCACTCAAAACTGCCACGACAAGTGCCCTCCCCATCACAATAGGCGTCACAAATTCCTTTAGTTGAAATGCAAAAACGATGCTTCGATTAAATCGAGTGTATTTTAAGGGTGCACAACGCTGTTTTAGCTGTGCCTCACAATTACTGAAGCACGCGAATGACCGATTCAAGAAGTATTCGCAGGTCCGGCAATTATCAGCTGAACACCATCCCAAAGCTGCACAAAAAAGAGAATGGCACAGCTTTTGATTATGCGTGAGAGCCGAAATGTCTCACCGTTCGGTCTGGCGAGAGTTGTCCAGAGAAGAGGACGGCAACGACGCTACCGCGCCGGTATCGCGTCGAACGAGGACCTGGGTCGATCCGGAGGAAGGCATCTTCGATAAGCCCGCGTAGAGGGTTTCAAGCTCGCTACCTGGGTCCTAGCTCTGCTCATCACTGACAGCTGCCCCGAGCTTGGAGTCTTATAAAGCCGCCAGGGGGGTTAGAGCGCCATGCGGAAGCGACCCCTTTCCCCCCTCTCTCGTCCCTATGCCCACAACCAATCGGAGCGTCGGAATGGCCTGACGTCACAGACATTACGCGAGAACCAGTGGAAGCGAGATATTGGAAACGTTACCGCTGTCTACCCCCTCCCAACTATCTTGTTTGTCTCGGTTTCTTCGCTCGCGTACGCAACAAGCGTCGCTCTGCGAAAGTAGCGATGAATATTTTTCCATCGCCGATAAGAATGACGATGTTTGCCACGGTTGCGCAACGTTCGACAGTCAACGAGGCGCGAGTTAAGATCCTTCCAATGAAAGCGCAAATAAAGTGTACGGAAGGACGATACGACGCCCGCTCTGCCACCAGATTCTCTCGTGCGTCACGGAATATCTGCTGCGCACTCCGTCCAAGGGACGGAGAACCACGATACCCTCGCGACTTCCAACTTGGCCATCAGAATCGTCCCGAAGAACGCTTATTCAAGTTTGTCCGACGAGCAAACAGCCCCCGTCCTTCCGTATGCCTTCGCCCCAAAGCACCCCGATGTCCACCGCCATACAACGGAGTTGCGGTCAAACCATCCGCCGTCCACTTCCGACATAAAAAAAGAGCGAACCTGTTTAGTCTTGAAATGAAAAATTCGTCAACTTTCCGCCTTCCCAAGTGCCAAGAGCGCGGAGGAGTTTAGTAAGGTTCCTCGCAAAATCACAAGGTAGGTGTTAAAATATTATATAAATCGAGATTTCAAGCCACAAATTCAAGCGCACGATAATTACTGCGGTTAGAACGCGTAGACGTACCCAGAGTACGCATCACTGCAGTGATTATCGTGCACACAAATACCGGCGACCGCCATCAGAATCAGAGTTGCAATTTCAAAACATCAAACTTAAAAAAAAAAAAAAGACAATTAAGTTTGTTTAGAGCTTTGCCCAGTTTCGCTTTTCTGGCACGTCTGCTTTTCGTCTGTACAACCTCCTGTTTTTTTTTTTTGTGTGTTTTTTCTTCCCTTTTTCCTTTCCAAGTGCAACAGACGCCAGCTTGCCTGACCCGCCTGTTTTTGTTGCGATGCATTCTACGCTTGCGCAGGTTGCTCGAGTTTATTTATGAGCGTCGAAGCAGCGTTTGCCGGCCGCCATGCATCTCCGACATCGAAATACGACGAAATACGACGGCCCAAAAAATGCCTGCGCACGCGACGTCACGGCACTGTGCAGGTGGTTATTCGTACTCATTGTTCGTTTCGAAGCCCGTATACGGTAAAAAAATTAACACGGTAGAAGGAAAGTTCCAAGTCGATTAGCGTCTAGCATGGCAAACCGGGTGACGTCAATGCAACCTGTCACCGCACAAAGTAACTTTTTTTTTTTTTTTCCTTGCGGGCGCACCTGTGCGTGGAAAATAGTGAGATGAGCCAATAACCGGCAGCAGTTGCCGAACTTGAGGGCCGTAGCAACAGCGCGTGCTCAATTCCTCAAAGCGGAACGAGTGCTGATTGCAAACAGAAACTGATGGCGACACTCTTACTTGAAATGCAGATCAAACTACTGTCAAGCCTGGTTCGCAACATGCAAGCCAGTTGCGTTCACTGCGACTGAAACGAGCGATGGCAGGACCATGCACCAAGAACTAGAATGTCTGAACCAGTCTTTTAGCAGTTTGGTTCGAAACCCTGGGTCTCTAGTTACACACAGCTCATGCACAAGCGCACATCCACTGGAGTGTTTAAGCTAAATCGGGCCTTACCATTATACAGAGCGTCGCATCTCCCAGGTAATAAATGCGCATCCCACGGTACTCGTGCCCGTGGGATGCGGTAATAAAGGGCCATTCACAGAATTCATTAGAAGTCGACCACCAATCGCGATCAACTTCGCTCACAAAACAGTTTGAGTTGACGCTATCTGACAGCTGGGTTCCTTTTATTACCCTGCTTGTCGGCCTGGGGATTAATGAGAAATTCGAGTACGGTCGGGACATCCGTACCGCCCGCTGCAACAGATCCGATCCACCGCTGTTGCTAAGAGATCAAACCTTAACGTTCAACCTTTTTGTTGTTGTTGTTTTAAGACATTCGCGAACAGGTGGAATCGCCACTGCACTGCGGCGATTCCATGCTTATTGGAACTTGCCCCATTTCCAAGTTCATTTTATCTCGAATCACTGTCTTTTGTTCTTTTTCTCCCTTTCGATCAAGTATCTTTGCTCGTTCCACATCATGCACAATGCTCCTATTTTCTTTTTGTTCGCCAAGTAAAACTCGAACACGCAGGGAGGTCGACTGGTACTGCAGATGCCGTCAACAAAGGCTTCTCCTTTTTTTTTTTTTTTTTCTCGCCCAGCCGGTTTGTAGTTTGTTTCGAGGCAACTCGGTTACCGCCAACCCCCCCATTCCAAGGAAAAGCTCCTGTCCCGGCACGCCCGACCGCCCCGCGGCGAGTGTCACGACCAGTCACCGAAAACATTAGTTTTCTTTTCACGCGCGGAAAGAAAACTTGAAAAGTGTGCATGCCGTAGAACTCAGCTACACTTTAAAATATGATTATCTCATCATACGCGTTCCGCAACCGCTAGCTAGCCTTGTACCTGCTTCACGAGTGGTAACTTTACACCCGTGCCACACGGGCAACTCAAATGCCCTTTACAACGAATGACATCTGTGTGATCGGCGAATCAGCTTGCAATCTGTCGCGCGTGGAATGCGCTACGCCCGGAGTGTCGCGCGCTGATTGGCCGTCTGCTCAAATGTCATTCGTTGTAAATGGCATTCGAGTTGCCCGTGTGGCACGGGTATAAGTGCACTGCTACGCTTCTCACGCGTTCAAAGACTTTCTGAAACTTACTGACTTATTAGTTTTCGATGACGCTGAGCAAGTTTCTAATTGGAACCATATGTCTAGTTTCACCAATTAAAACGTTAACGAATTTTAATTAATTAGCCGACTTATCCTAATGATTAGCCACTATGTCCCGCTCGCCGCATAAATCGCACAAGTGTAAGTTTTCACGGCTTTTTTTAAAACAAATCTATAAAGTTGGGCGTTTCCGTGCACTAGTTTCAGACGCGTCACGAAGCTGCAACCATGCGGTATGATTGCGTCAGTCACCCAGCGGTCACGCCAGGTGAGGTCACGCTTGGTTTCGACGATCTTCCACCCGCCTCGATCGCCGTAGTCCATCAGTTCTTGAGCTTCTATAGAAAAAAAAAAAAAAAAAAAAAAAAAAAAAAAAAGAGCGGCTCGTACACCGGAACGGTCAGCTGGGATCTGTCAAGCGTCCAATGCAATGAACGAGAAATCCGCGCGCCCCCACTTCATGAGCCCAGGAGACTGCGTGCGTTACCTGAGCTATGACGAGGTACGTCTGTGCCCGGACAGATCCGCTGTTCCACACCCGGCGCACTCAGTGCGCACGAGCTGTGCGTGAACATTCAATCGGACACATGCTGCGGGTCAATCAATGCGACTCGACAAAGGCAGGAGCCCCGACGGCGGAAGAGTAAGAATGCACTATCGTTATCTATGCGGTGTTCGTATGACGACGACGCTGAACAGCCAGCGCCCACGGACGTCACGCCCGCGGTTCGCAGAACTAAATCTCGACATTCCCATTTTTTTTTTTTTTTTTTTTTGACGAGGCGATCTGTACCTTGTCAAGCAAAACTCCTTTCAAATGTTACGGAGTCGACAGGTTGCCGGATCTCGGCACAGAAAGAGCAATCAGACTGTGAGCAACGGGCAGACTAGTGCCACTAAATAAGCTACGCTTCAGTTTAACGACACTCGACCATATTGTGGCTTAAAATCGTGGCTGCCAGTTATCTGAAATCACAGGAAAGGCTTTTCCGTCCTCCACAAATGTTTAAACAGTTGTCGACAGTGCAAAACAACATTACATGAGCTTCCTAACACCGAATCCTAATGCTGAGGAAGTCGCACTTTTGAATCATGACGATCGGCAGTTGCGTCTGCTCTGCACAAGCACCCAAATGGCGGCGCCCACAACAATGTCGGGGAACGGAGTGCCGATACTCTAAGCGCAACTCATTTTGTAGCTCTAGGGCAGAGAGCTTTTTTTCTTGTTTAACTGGTGACAATTGGAACCCGGCAGGAAATGCCGTCTGCAGAGAGTCGGGGAGATAGCTCCGGAAGGCAGAGTGCCAGAGAGAAACCCGCACGCATGTCTGATTACCCATAAACGTGGGATCAAAGTGCGGCGGTGAAGGCTGTGGATCGGATCGGCGCTTTCTATCGCCGAGTTCTTCGGACGATAAAGATGTCCTTCAACGGGGAATGGATATAGGGATATGGTGGCTTAACCCCTTGTATCGGGCGATCACAGTTTTAACAGAACTGGATCACCCTTAAAAAACGATTTTTTTTAAACCGTTTGATTGAGACACGCGCTAAAAAAAAATCAATTTTACGCGAGAAAAAAAAAATTACAGAAATATTGACGACGCGAGATGAGATTTAGTCGGTAGTCACCTCTTTTCCACGTGTTTTCCCTCTCGGCATTTCAGGCGACAGGTGGATCGGCTTTGCCTTCTCGTTGAAGTGGAAAGAGCGAATGACCATCACGTTGAGGTGGAAGGAGCGAATGACCATCTCGTTGAGTTCGAAAGAGCGAATGACCATTCCGTGACGTCATGGACTTTAAGCCCAGAATTTCAAATAAATCTATCGCCGTCAATATTCCTCTACAATTTTTTCTTTCACTTAAAATTTTTTTTTTTTTTTCAAACTGTTGAAAAAAAAAAAAAACATTTTTTTTTTTTTTTTTAGGGGATTTTTAACCTGAGACTAGACGCTCCGCCTTCAGCGCGAGCTCGCTGGCTTCCGCAGTGCTCTGGTGGCGCGTGCCTGTGCGTTCACACTTGTGTTAGCAAGGGCAGAAAGCTCGCGCTGAAGGCGGAGCTTCTAGTCTCGGCTTAAGGTACAAAGCTAGTTGCGCGAGCGCTTGCGAATGAGACAGAAGACGAAGCCACGTGCTCTCGCAGAAGTGCGGGGCTGGAGCACTGTAGCCTGAACAATGTAGCACAAAATAGTTGACGCCTAGTATACACGTTTTCGCCTGGAGGCGCCACACTTGCATCAGTGAATGGGAGCGCACCATCTCACACGAAGATGGCGCCAAACCGCATCTCTCCCGCAGGCCACCTTGACGGTAGGTGCGTGGCAGCGGGTGTCTGCCCACGACGGAGGGACCTGTCTCCGACACGTTCTCAAGCGCCCAGGAGCGACCGAGCCTTCGAGTGCACACTGCGCGCTCATCTTTGATCGGCACCCTCGCGAGTGCACCGAGGACTCGCGAGCATTCGAGTCTTTTCCTTGAAGCGGTCGAGGGCCATCGGCCAGAAAGCGCGAGCCTGGAGTACTAGCCCCTCGAGACGCGTGTCCCCCTTATCTGGACGCGTGGGCCGATGCGGCCGCGTGGCCGCTC